CTTATATAAATAACTCAACAAATAGTTTTACATTTACTATCTCATCAAATTTTATCACTACAACTATGTTAAGACATAGGTGGTATCATCCTTATATTACAGACAGGCCAACCGGGAAGCTGAGATTCAAACAATATGTCCCGGAATAGCAGCAATAACGCTGCAGGTTGATGACGATGAGGATGCTTGCTTGTGAACATACCTAATGAAACCATTTTATGATTAAAATATTTAATTTCAGTGATATCTATTTTATCACAGTTTTTAAAACCACAAAAGAACACCTGAGGCTAGAAAATCCAAATATACAATCCATCTCTTCTCGGCCTTTTGGCTAAGATCAAGTGCAAATATACAATCCAATCTAAAAAATATTTGAAGTATGAAATAAATGGAGGAAAACTAGAATTTGAAAAATATTGTCAAAAAAAAATTGAATGTCAATGTGAAGAAAAGATATCCACACCACACATTATGATGAATTATAAATATATAAAAAATTAAGCATTCAAAAAAATTGAGGTAAAATAGAACAGCATAAATATCTCTCATCTGTGAAAATGAGATAAATTCATAAGCAACAGAAAAAATACAAAAAATAAAAAGATCCAATTATGTAAAATATACTTTCATGCCACAAAAAGATTAAGAGGGTATAATAAATGGATGTAATATCTATAATAACTACGATGGATAAAGCTTAATGACTCCAATACAACTCAAGTCAATACAACAGTTACATCTATTATTATGTGGCAAAGAGCAGCTAACATAAACCTGTTAAAGATATAAACAGGCAGTTTAAGTAATCATGAAGTTCACATCAGCACTTGAGAAAAGATCTGTCTCACAACTAACTAAAGAAAAATAGAAGTATTTGTAAGATACTACTTTGCTAACTATGAAACTACTGAAAATAAATCTAAATGAAATCTAAAGTTACTTAGCTATAAAAAGATAAAACATAATGAGGCACAACTATAAAATCACATGTATGTTCACACTACTCCAAAGTATTAAAGGAGTCATAAAATTGACCATGGCCTAATCTGAATAATTTCATTTCTAAACTTATATACAGGGAGGAACCTAACTCTGCTTTTTAAAGTACAGTAGTAAGCGAGGGCAGGGGAATGGGAAAAAAATAAGAACCTAGATACATCACATAAAGGTACAAGATCCCAATAATGAATGCAACTATATTGTATACCATTTTGTTGTATAAAATGTTGTATAAACTTAATGGAAAAAAAAGTATAGTAATGTAGTTCGGCACAGTGGTACACACAGAAGATCACTTGAGTCCAGGAGTTCAAGGACAGCCCAAGCAGCAACTTTATCTCAAAACAAAACAAAGCCAGGACTGGGATTTAGCTCAGTGGTTCTGCTGCCTGCCTCACAAGCACAAGGTCCAGAGTTCGATCCCTGGTACCAAAAAAACAAAACAAGTTTGTTGTTCACAGAAATGAAAAATTGAAACTAACCAATGTGAAGAACGGTTTAGCTGTACTACTATTCTAGAATTGATATTCCATATTAAGATGAAAACTATAAAACAACCTGTAAGCTATTTCAATATAAACTTATTTTAAAAGTGAAAAAACTAAATTTATCAGTTTAATTATAGCTTACACATTGATAAAAATTTTAAATGAAAAACTGTATTTTATGTCTAGTAAAATGTTTACATATTTTTAAATGCTTCTACAAAAATGTTTAAGACATTAAGCTAAAATTAAAAACAAATTCTGTACTTCTTCCCTTTTTGTGAAAAAATTTCAACTTTGAAGAAAAAGCAGTTTAAATTGAAATGTTCCTTTACCCTCACAAATCTTAAAGAAGTTCATGACAGCAGTAGACAGACAATTAATTTAATTTTCTTGCTGTTATTTCTTTTAGAAGAAATCAAGTTATTTAAAACACTGTACACAAGCTCAGGGCTCATTCATTTTATGATTCTGAGCAAAAACATCTAACTTCCAATAGTTAAGAATTTGCTATTAGAAAAGAGTTCACATTTGGTTTCACTGTTGACAGAAATGGTTCTCCTTTGCTAGTATAAGAAAACAAGTAAAAAGATGCCACAAGAGATAAGAGTATTACAGATTCTTGGAGACCATCATTAATGGGTTCACAATTAATGGTTGATCACTAATTTAGGGTTAAGGAAATTAAGCCAAAGGGGTTTAGAGAAAGGCGAGGTGGGAAAGAATCTCCTTCTCAAACATACATACACAAAGCTATCATGAAACAGATTTCTGGCCAAAGACAGCCCACATCCTAATGCCCAGAACCTGTGAGTGTTAACCCTATCTGGGAGAAGGGTCTCTGCAGATGTAAATAAAGTAAAATTCTGAGATAAGACTACCCTAGATTTTGTGAGTAAGCCATAAATGTCCCTACAAGTAGCCTTATGAGAGAAAAGAAGATGAAAATTTAACAGCGAGAAAAGGCCTCTAAGGATTAAAAAAAAAAAAAAAATGAGGTAAAAA